TGGTCTGACCAGCTTTACATGCTTCCTTGAATTCTGAAATGAAAGCAAGAGAGCATTTGCTTAAATCAACAATATAAATCATCAGCTTAAAGGTTAACCCTTGATTGTGCAGCACGGGAAGCAGACATTTATTGACCCAGTTCAAGGACTTCCAGTTTTCTGAACACATAATGCTCCAACAGATTGCTTTGCAGTAGGCTTTTGCATATACAGACAACACAGGGGGCAGGATGGGTGGCCTCAGAGCATCATTCACTTGGAGCAGGGCATGCCACTAGCCTGGTGAAGACACTCGTGGGCTGTCATCCATCCTGTCCTGGCAGCCTCTTCAGGGCTCAGAACACTGGCACTGACACCAGCGCAGCTGTGTTTCACATGGGGCAGCTGCTGTAAAGCCCTTCTTCCAGCCATGAGCACCAAAGCCAACCCTGGCACTCAGACCAAGATCCTGTTCAACCAACAGAAAACCAGTACTGTTCTGGTGGAGCAATAAATAAGGTCCTTATTTACTGTTGCAAAAAAAGGGCATGCTTAGGGGGAGAAGTGAGCAAGGGAGATAAGCAAAAAGCATACCTAGGGATGAAACAAAATCTGAAAGTAAGTCATAGAATGGGTTGGGTTGCAAGGGACCTTAAAGCTCATCTAATTCCAAGCCCCCAACACAGGCAGGGACACCTTCCACCAGATCAGGTTGCTCCAAAACTCTTAATGAACAGCTTTGACAATTAGATTCAAAATCCCCAAAATTAGTTAAGACATCAGCTTAGACACCTGTCAAACTAACAGCTACTCTCCGCTTCTGCAAAATACTGGTGAACATCTTCTTGCAGCCATGGTACCTGTACCAGGGATGCCCAGGGAAGAACCTGGCAGTGCTCAGTGCTACTCTGCAGGCAGCACCAGGAAGAAGTTCCTTCAAAAATCTGTTTGGGAATATAAGGGAGTGATTCTGAGCCAGAATGTCAGACCGAGCTATTAAAAAAAGAAACGGTGATTGCTGCAGCCAGGCTGTGCTGTCATACACTGCTTACATTTGTTTTAATTTTAAACTGAGAGTCAGTCTAAGGTTCGTTACACAAACATATGGCACTGGTATTACATTCTACCTTGTATTTATAGAAAGCCCTGTGGCAGTCCAGGCAGTGCAGAGATGTCATAATGTTAACAACATTTATCAGTAGCATGACAAAAGAACAAAATAAGCCAGTAGAAATCACAACTTCAGTTTTAAGCAACTAACTAGAGTAAGGGACCTGAGCATGCAGTTATTGGCTAAAACTCCTCCAGCATTAATGAATACACTGAGCCAAATCCACTAAGTATTTTGTTATACACCCTTACAAAGATGTTTAAACCCCAAGCCTTGAAAACTGATTAACACATTTAATGCCAGCCCAATTAAGAGATATGCCCTCAGCAGGGTGATGAGAGTGCCCAGGCAGAAGTCCCCATTCCTGCAAGAGGAACAAAGCTTTTGGGACAGAGGGTGAACTTTAGTTACACCTTTTTATTACCCAAACTGCCACCTCTTCCTTAACAAGCACACTCATATATCCCCATAAACAATGCAATCTGATAAACACCATTACTAGATTTCTTCACCCGCTCCACCTGTTAAGCCACAAAGGCCCATACTTCACCCTCTGGAAGCAAAACCCAGCAGCTCAAATAGCAGGATCCAGCACACCACTAACACACGGACTCCCAAAACTTCTGGAAGCATTTATTAACTTTGGACAGTGACCAGGGATTGCTGCAGGAGTGCACTGACGATGGGTTCATCTGTAGCTAAATCCACTGGTGACTGGGGTTAGGGTGAGGTGCTAGCTCACACGACACACTCAGTGCCTTCCAACAGTGGAAGGGTTACTTCTCTTTTTACTGTTTTTTTTTTCCAAAAAAAGACTTTATTAGGAGAACTACAAAACATTTACAGTACAAAGTTTACAGTCTCACACAATCTGTAGTGAACTGACTCCTGAAAAATATATTACAACTCAAGTTGACTTATCCTTTAGTTACATTCAAAACATACTTGTTAAAGTAGTCCAAAGAGAGTACATAGTGCTCAATCTGTACCTATGTACAAACAAAAACTAAGCTACCACTCATTCATCCACCATCCAGGAAAGTTTTAGGAAACTCCTGACTTTCTACATAAGGAAAAATAATAAAATGCCAAAGTTTTGGAATTCAGTTTAAACAAGATATGTTCAGGTATATAGGAAGTTTCAGATCCAAAGATGGCCTCCATTCTTACCAAGAGTGGCAAAATTTTGCTGCAGTTAAAACCCACCCTACATTCAAATCGTATCAAGCATTAAGAATAAAATACTTATTTGGTTGAGAGAAAAGATTTAAGGCAAGCATGGACCCTTGAGAAGGCACTGTGAGACATCCTAACACTGGAACCCCCAATTATTGCTACATACTGAGACTCTTATCACAGTGTGATTGGTGGAGTCAGGCAACAAAAAATACTTTTTGGTTACTTTAAAAAAGTCTGTATTCAATTTGCCACTCTGCTTTTGAAGTCAGTCCTCTTTTTGCTGCTGGCTTGTTTTCTCTTATTCGTTTTTTCACCTCAGATAGGCTACAACCATTTTACATTCTACAAAAACCCCATAGAAATCCCTCAAACTACTTCCACAGCATCAAGACCGGTTTCTATACAGAAACCATGCAATCGTTCAGATTTACGTAAACAAGGAAAGAAATTAATGAAATAAATATTACAATCTCTTAAATTAAGAATTTTACTCATTTACAATAAAATAACCAAGTGAAGTTACAAAAAAAGGCATATATTACTGTGAAAAGAACACACTTCACATTTCGCCGATTAATAATGGCAATCATAATTTAAACATAAAAGAATATATATCTATTGCTTTTCTCATACCTGATAAATACAGTATGAACAAATTACCAATGCATACTTTTCACAAGATAATAAATAAGTTAAATAGTTTCAGATTTGAGTTGTTGTGCAATGACTCATTCATGCAAAATCAACTCAAACCAGCTAAAAAAAATAAACAAAAAAATAATCAGCAGTTATTCTCCAACAACTACAACTAAACTCAGTTGAGTGCTTCCAAATAAAGCAACAACAACAGAAATTGTTCTAAGCCAAACATCCACTAAGTGGTGGCAATGGAACCAATATTAAACTTTGGAATGAACGTTTTAGCATGTTATAATAATTATACATAGATATATAAAAAAAGGTTGTTATCAAGGCATATTCTTGGCAGGATGCTGGGATTTTTTTTCCTCTTTTCCTTAAAAAAAGCTGACAGGTTTTATAGGTTTCATGTTTCTGCGTTTTATCTGAACTGCATTGAAAGGAACCAATTTGTAACCTGTGTGCGCCCGAAGGTTTGGAGGCACTGGGCAGGCAGAGCCAGAGCTCCCCGGATTATTTGTTGCTTTATGGTGGTGTGTTTTCTAATGCTCTTATCTTTGTTTTCTTCTCTCCTCTTTCTGAACACAGATGGAATGGCTGCTGCTGGTGCGGATCAGAATTTGGCTCCGAAGAACAAAAGAATCCCCTTCTTCCAAGGTCTCTCTATAAAAATAGGTTTGTTTAGTTCGTGTCATTTGCCCCTTTTGCAAAACGCTTTTTTTACCTTTGTTCAGCTCTCGGTGTATATATAGATATACAAATATATATATATTAAAAAAAAAAAAAAAAAGGAATAAGAGAAGTATTCACTTTCTTCGCTCTTTAATTCACTTGCTCGGCAGCCGCTGGGCCGGCCCCCCGCGGTACTCCCTTTCCCTTAGTCGTCGGAGATAGAGAGCCGGCTGAAGATGGGCAGACGGCGGCCCGAGTCCAGGCTGGGCGACTCGGAGCCGCTGAGGGAGCCGGAGCTGAGGGAGCCGCTCAAGTAGCTCTCCCGGTCGGAGAGAGAGTCCGGGGGACTGGGCGGCGCGTCGAACACAGGCGACTCAGAGAGGCGTCGAAGGGGCTGGAAGCTGAAAGGCGGCGATGCAGGGGGTGGCGGGCAGCCCCCACCGGGCGGCGGCGGCTGCTGCTGGCAGCGGTAATAGGCGGCGGCAGCAGCGGCGGCCGCAGCGAAGTTCTGTGTGTGGAGGGAGAGCGGGGCAATGAGACTGCCTAGCTCCTGCCCCGAGAAAGCGAAGGCGTTGTTAGCACAGGTCGGCGACAGCAGCTCCTCACAGTAGGACGCAGAAGCGGAGGGCGGCGGCGTGCGCGACCCGCCGGGGCTCTCCAGCAGAGCGGCATCAAGGCGACCCCCGGGCGGCGGCGGGGCGGCGCCGTGGGGGTGCGGCGGTTGGTGGTGGTGGTGATGGGCGGAGAACCCGGAGAAGCTCAGGCTGTGGTGCAGCTTAGGCCGCTCTCCGCCGCGCGGGTGCCCGAACCCACCACCGCCCAAAGTGTGGTCGCGGGGCGCAAACGCGCGGAGGTCCCCGGTACTGCCGGCGGGGTGCGGAGGTGTATGGTGAAGGTGGTGGGGCCCCGCGCCGGCGGCGGGAGGAGAGGCGGTCGTGCCCCCGCCGGGCGCCGGGCGGCGCTCGTCGGCGTTGTGGATGAAGTGGCAGCGCGGGCCATAGGGGCAGAAGCCGATGGTGTGGAAGGTCCGGCAGAGCTCGGTCTTGTATTTGGGGTGGCGAGTGAGGCTGCGCAGCTCGTGGAAGCCGTGGGCGAACTGGCACTTCTCGCCGTACTTGCAGGCGCCGCTTTCCTCGAAGGGGCGGCAAAGCTCCGTCTTGTAGCGCGTCGAGTTGATGGGGGCACCGCCGCCGCCACCTGAACCGGCCCCCTTACCGGCCGCCGCCACCTGCTGCTGCTGGAGCTGCTGCATGAGGTGCTGGCTGCGCTCACCATTCTCGCTGAAGGAGCGGTCCCGGAACTTGTTCTCCTTGTTAAGTAGGGCCGTGGGACTGCTGCTGCTGCCACCTCCGCCGCAGCCCGTCTCCTTCAGGCTACCGAACGAGGAGGAGGAAGAGGAAGAGGAGGAAGATGTGGAGCCGGCAGGACTGGGAAATTTGGACCCGCCGGCCACCGCCGGCAGGTTACTGGTGGAATGCCGCCGCAGGAAACCTGGCGCGAAGCTGGAGCTGGGGGAGGTCACCGAGGTCCCCACGGCCTTCTTGTTCAGCATGCTGCTGAGGTTGGTCAGGGACTTCTCCGTCTGCCAGGGTGGGGGAAAGGGAAGGAGAGGAAGACAGCAGGGGAGAGAGAAGAGGTTGCACGCTGACCTCCGCAGCACCCCGGGGGGAGGGGGCGGGTGGGGGTCGCACCGCCCTCTGGCCCCAACGTGGGCCCGCGGCAAGCGCCGGGAAGGCGGGCAGAGCAGCGAAGAGGCCCTTCGCAGGCTTTACCGCACACGCAATTCTCACAAAGTTTCTCTCGGCAGCGCACGGCCGGCGGCGAGCGGCTCCAGCGTAAAAAAACACCCCAGAAGCCCCCGTAGCTCTGGGGCTCGCAGCCTTACATCAACCGCCTTGCAGCGGGGTCCGCGCTACCGTAGCCCGGCAGTTTTCAGGAGGCAGACCGCCCCGCAGAGCCCGCCAACCGCCCCGTCCAGTCCCGTCCCGCGCAGGTCCAACCCCGGCCCGAGCAACTCCCGCCAAACCGCGGCACCGGGCAGGGTCGCGCCTGGGGATCACACTCCTTCTCCCTACCTTGCACAAGAAGTCAATGTCGTAGAAAGCAGACAGAAGTGTCGTCGACATTTCTAGATCCTGTAATGGTCGGAAATACAGGAAGGACCAAAAGATCCCGCTGTCCTCGGAGGGTTTGGAAAAGCCACGACTAGACAGGAAGTGGCCGTTCGCTTGAGATCTGAAATGGTCCCGTCTTCTTCCCGGCGGGTGCCGGGCCAAGAACGGCGACAATAACTACGCAACAGCAAGCAGACTAAGGAAACTCCGCTGCTTTTCGCGCCTCCTCCATATAAACACCGCCGCCAAGGCCCGCGGGGCGGTTCTCCTTTCCGCCCCGCCCCGCCCGGCCGGCCCCGCACCGCCCGGCGGGACCGCCCAAGTCGTGTAGGGGACCGCGCTTGCAGTGGTGGGTTGTGTTGGAGCCGTGTGCGAGCAGTGCTGCCCCCTGCTACACCGCGGTAACCCTGAGTTGAGTGAGCCCACAACGAGGGCAAGAGGGGCCGGAGGGGGGTCCACGCAAGGCATGGAACGAAAGGGCTCGGGCCCTTCGTGCCCTTTCCCAGACACCGGCACGGTTGCTGCTGCCATAGCCCCCTTCCTCCCGGGGACGGGAGTCGTCCGCGATGCCTCCCCGGGCGGGTAGAGGCTGCCGCCGAGCGGAAGCCGGTGCGCGGTGCGGAGCGGACACTTCTTCGTCCCACCCCGCCGAAAATTTTTGCCACGTAACTGGTTTGAAAGAAAGGTCGGGCCCGGAGTCCAACGATGCAACCGGCGGGACGGCTACTGGCCTCCGGCTGCGCGTTCGCACCCTGTGGCTGTTTCTTTTAGGGTTGGTGTTTCTTCTTGTTGGTTTGGTTTGTTTTTTTTTTTTTTTTTGGGGGGCCCCCCCGTGGGCGAAGATTCTGTTTGGTTTGGTTTTTGTTCCGAGTTCGGGAGAGGTTGCCAGACAGGCGCGGAAGCAATGCGGCGTTAACGCCACACCGGCTGGGCCCGTCATCGTATGGCCCGGCGCCGTCTACGGAAGCCCCCTCCCACACCGATTTGACCTGCCGACGCTGTGCCCGCCTCCCGCCGATCACCGCCGCGGCCCTCGACCCACCGTCGCGAGGCCGGGGGGGAAGGCAGCGGCAGTGGCAGGCCTGTGCCGGCGGGGCTGTTTCCGGGCGGGAGCGAGCAGGCTGCCGGCCAAGGCAAAACAGCCCGCTCCGCCCCTCCGCTGAGATAAGGCCGGTCAAATGCGGAGAGGAAGGCGGTGGAGGCGACGGATCTGAACCTTTGGCCTCTTCCCTTCCCTTCCCCCCCCCCCCCCCCCACCGTGTTTGCTCAGTCCCGGGACAAATGGTAAAGAAAAAACGGACGGGCGTGTAAAGTTTTATTGCTGTAAAAGCCCGCAGACGCCTTTGATCCTCTGGCTTCTGAGCCATGGAAATCCAAGGGTGCAAACGTGACCACGTAAGCAAAAAGCCCTGCGCTTTGAAAGCACATTTAAGAACTGCTGGGGGGGGGGGGGGGAGGGAGGAGGTGTGTTAAGACACATCGGGTGCTCACTCGCCACCTCGCCGCCGGGGAGTGCACGTTCCCATTTGGTTCCCCTTCATCCGTGTCACCGCACAGTCCTTTTACCCGGAGGCAGCAACCGGACCCTGCTGCTGCTCTGCCCGGGGAACCGCCACGGAGCAACAAGCCTGGCCGCGACGTTAGGACTGAGCTTTGCAACAAACGGAAAATCCACCCGGGACAGACGAGGAGGTGGCGAATAACAAGGCCAAACCTCGCCTTTTCGCGTATCCTGCCACTTCGGCCACACCACCTCTCACCAGTCCAACTTCCTCCTTTTCCTAGTCCCCATCCGTTTCCCTCCTCCCCCATTCCCGGCTGAGAGGGCGGCGGAGCAGAGCTCTGCCTCCCCCTAGTGCCCGCGCCGCGGTACCCTTCTCTGCCTTCCCAAGGGGCTGCTAGACCGCGGAGCGATGGATTGACGCTTCCGGTACTTCCCTCAGCCCGGGGGGCGGGCCGCAATTCCCGGCCGAACGCAAAGCGCTGCCTCCCGACGGGGAAGCACCTGGAAGCGGGGCCGGGAACGACAGTAAGTTTCCCAGCAACCCCGCATCACTCCACCCTTGTTTCATCATCCTTGTGATGAAAACAGCCCCTTCAGTGCTGATCTTGCCCGCTCCTGAATGGAGGAAACAGCATAGACTGCTGACACTAATGCAGGGAGCAGCGTGTCATCGTCATCTGGGGGAATGCTTCCATAAATCGACTTTGATCCCACATAGCTGATAAGTACTCCACTGAAAGATTTTGCTAAACTTCTTCTGCGATTGCTGCTTAGGGTTTAAAGGCTCTTGGTTTGAGTAGTTACATAGTAACTCAGGTCACCAGCGGTGCGTAGTTAAATATATATGCACCAATACAGTTTTATTTGCTCTCTGTAAACCGAGGCAGGACAAGAAGGTTGCGGTGGCATTTCAAACCCAAGGTAAAGGAGGTTTATTTGGTTTACTGATTAACCAGGGTTCTCTGCTTCACAATTTTGTGTTCACTGTAGACCTGTTACCCCTCTGCGTTTATCCAGTTGTTGAACATATCTGCACGTGCTTTTAAATTCCACCCAATAAAATGAAAAGGGCGATGTTCTTACTGATAGTCTTATTGAGCAGGGTCACACAGCCACACTGCAGTTCTGATACTACAAATCAAAGTTCTGGTTGTTTTCTACTATAAACTTGTTGCTACACTGGTTGAAAAATACTGGAAAGGTGTGGCAAGCCTAGGAGCTGGGAATTGTGTAGGTTTTGGGAGTGACTTCCAGCCATAATCTGGGCTGTTCTTTCCCCAGGAGCTAAAAACAGATATCTAACTCACAACGCAGCTTGCAGAGCTGGGTGGTGAGACACTGGAATGGGTTGCACAGGGAAGTTGTGAATACTCGATCCCTGGCAGTGTTCAAGGCCAGGCTGAATGGAGTCTTAGGTGACATGGTTTAGTGTGAGGTGCCCCTGCGCATGGCAGGCATTGAAACTACACAATCTTAAGATCCTTTCCAACCCCAACTATTCTGTGATTCTTTGTCTGTTCATCTCAGACTCCAGCGTTTCCCTTTTCCTGCTGAGGTCCCATTTCATGATAAATCAGTTATAGGAGTAGCCCTGAATCCCAGAAACTTACAGAAAGCATTTAAACTGTTCCTCCCAAATTATCTATTTCTCCAGCAGTGACTTGTGCAGTTTCCAGGTGCCCAGTAAACCCAATACAGAAGCTTATCTCAGCTGGAGAAGCAGGAAGCAACAGGCCGTGAGGCAACGCAGCACCCAGCTAGTGCCGGCGGTGGGGGCCCAGGCCCTTCCCCAGTGAAGTTAACCCGGAGGCGGGCCCGATCCTGCTCAGGTTAACCCAGACACCGGCACGAGTGCGCGGGTGTATGCGGCGGTGCTGCAGCACCACCTCCCGGCCGCGCTCCCGCGGTGGCACCGGTCGTGGGAGAGAGCCCATTACCGGCATCACCCGTCGGAGTTCGTGGCTGATCCGGGGCAGCGGCGTTGGGAGACCGGGAGCACATAGCAGGGTGTCTCTGCACTACGCTATCAAGCAGGACCTGAGTTTCCAACACTGATTGCAGGGCAAGGTGTTTGAAACTGCTTTGTTTTGAACAGCATGCTGTTCAGTTTAGAGCAGCTTTATAAAAGTATTTTATTTACAGGAAAAAAGGCATGAAAAAGTCTGAATAACACTGTTTCCATGTGCAAGACGAGGTTTTTACCAAAAGGGAGAATTCTTGCCTTCCTTCAGAGGAAATGCAGTAAAATACACAACTTGTCATGGGCAAAGGAGCTGAGGTTTGTGTCCATCCTTTTCAAAACACTTCAAAATAAAAAAAAAACCAACCACAACACATTAAAATTTACCTTTCTACATCTTGAAATGAGAGGGGGAAATAATCCCAACACTTTTTCTTGCTATTAAAATCCAGGAGGTAAAAACGTGAGATAAAACATAACACAGCTACAGGTGGCCTGCACCTGGATGAATGTAAAATACTAGGTGTAGATGCTTGACTTCCTAGAGTAGCTATAATAAATCTTGCTCAGCTGAATGAAATTAGCAAATGCATTTCAAAGGAGAAGTCTCCCCACAGCACATCTGACACACACACACAAATCAGTGGATTTAGATATAAAGAATGTGGGTTTAGCTGGAATACTGAACAGGTTGTTGCAGGTTTACAGGAGTCATTACAGCAATCACTTATTCCCCACAATTAGAATTCAGCCTCCCTGCCCACCCAGTAAAGTACCATCAGACTGCAGCAGATTTGTTCCTTTAAGGCAGATCTATATTCTCTTGTTTTGAATAGACCATCTTGTGCCTTCTGTAGTTTTGGAAAACTCTGGAGTCGGGGTTAGTGCTCCAAGGTGTCAAAGGAACTGTGGTTGGTCCAGTGCTACTCTTCATTGTCGATTTAAGTTTGCCATGATCTGGTAAAGTTAGGTCAGTCATTGAT